GCATGCTCTGGAACTGCTCGTAACTTAAAGGGAAGCTACGGAGCTTCTTGGAAAAAATGAGTTAGAAGTGAATTCTAGTGTATTTTTACCCCGTGAACCCGAATACCCAAACCATTTGCTGCGTAAGTATTGTTAAACGCGAGAAAAACGCGAAAGACAGTCGCTGTCCGTGACGTCATCGACGGCTCTTTTGGCTGCCCAAGGCTAGGGGGGCGGGGCTTCAGCCCTATTTTGAAATTGCTCTTGTGGCTCTCCGGCGCGTCGCATTGAAGTATAATTTTGATATCTGCTATTCTAAAGGCCAAATGAACGCAATTCAAGCGTTTTTTCTCAAATGTAGAAGTGCCCCATCTTCCCTTTAACATAAACCTAGCAACATAAACAATGTAAAAAAAAAAAAAAATTAGAGGGGGGGTGGAGGATAAAAGAATAAATTTAATTCTGTGAAAGGAAATTTTTTTTCTTTTAAAGCATAGAGGTAACTGTCATTGATTTGGCATTTAGATATATTATTACTATAAACCAAAACAAAGTTCAAAATTATAGTAATACGGGATACAAAAAGACCTGTTGTTACAAACAGTCAAACTACTCAGTGTGGACAACGTCAAGCCCAGACGCATCACAAAATTACTTTTGTGGTAAAACATCCATCTATTTTAACAGATGTACGTATAGGAATCGTCCCGTAATGTATTTAGTTGTCCCGCCTTACCGCATTCAATTTAATAAATTTAAATAACAAATCATTTTTGCGCTAGACCCATAATAGTATGTCTTCGGTTGCGCCTGAAAATTAGTTTTCACTGGGGCAAAGACCCACCTGTGTCCTGCCCGTTAGCAAGGCTCTCGAGATGCTCGTCCTCGCACATCCAGGTCGACGCCCCAGCTGCTGCAGTGCCTCTGCTGTCGGCACTGCTGTCTTCGGCCGGCGACTGAAATCGATTCGGACAGCTCAGAGGTTCTGGGTCACGGGGTGGTGTATGCACTAATCTCCAGAGTAGCATTCACCAATTCACTTATGCACAGCACACCAAAACACCAATCTGTTTGGTGTATCCCAGAGGCGCAACTATGAAATGTGCAGCACTTATGGGTTCTTTGTGACGTCACGGTGTCGTACGACGTGACACGACACCAAGGCGTCATGCGACATCAGTGTTGCATGACTTTGTGGCGTTACATGATGCCACGTCAGTCTCGCACTATGTAATGACGCACCACGACATTAGTGTCCTTTAACGTCACGGTGTTGCATGATGTCATAGTGTCACGCGAAATCTGTCACACAGTCATGGTGCCATGTCAGTGTCGTGCGACATCACTGTTGCGTGACTTCACGGTGTCGTCGTGAGACACCATGACATAGCGTCGCATAGTGTCGTGATGTCACACGTCTTCATGGGGTTAGGTGCCACGTAACGACCATCACACTGATAATGTCGCACAAATCCCATGACGTAATCATAGTGGTGTAGGCATGACGACCTCACCGAGGACCTTTCAAAATGCCAATGATGTCACATGAATGCCGCGACGTCATTGGCACGACAGCCCAGGGAAACTTCGTCAGCCAGGAATTGGGACACCACGACGAAATCTATGCTCGCATTGTTTCACACTTTTTGCCGGAACTTTTACGACCACCGCAGCGAAATTGATGGGTCAAGGCAAATGCTCTGTGGCCTCACCTGAGCTCCGAACCCGAGCAAGGGACCGCCGCACACCCCGGCTGTGTCCGCGCCCAACAGGGCCACGATGCGCTTGTCCTGCTGGGTCAGGGGCGCACTTGCGGCCCCCTGGGCCAGCTTCTCCCTGACGACCCGCACCCTTCCGCACCAAAAATGCTTCCACTCACTCCGACTCTTTGTTGCGGGCCCCAGTGCATTGAGCTGCTCCACGAGCTGGCTCCACCACAGCGTGCGCTCCTCTCCGATGGACCCCCCGGTGAATTCGTAGCAGGGCTTTGCGAGGGCCAGCCGCTCTTCCATCAAAGCAATCAGGGTGTCTATTTGCACTGAGGACGCGCGTGGTTTGAGCTTGCGACGCTTTGCGGAAGCGTTGGGGACGGACGGCGATGTTGGTCGTTTTGTCTTCTCGACCTCGCCGGTGCTACGTCGGCCTGAAGAGCGATAGAATGCTTGTCAACGCGCACAAAAATGTAGCAGCTAATATGGCCACACCAACAACGCTAATAATGTCTCATTCGGTTTTTCTTGTTTCATTTTCCAGACTTTCCGTTCACCCCAAAGAGACTCAATGAGCCTGACCCGGAGTGGAAGGGTGACGCGTCTCGTTCTTAAACTGTGCCTGTCCCCGAAGGAGAGTGTTCTTCCAGTCTAAGCACCATTTTAACAGATCCGAGTCACTCACCGACACCCAATAAGGGCCAAACACACCCTTGTATGTGCATTTGTAGTCTCCTGCACCACTCTATTGCACCGATGCAGAAACCACATCTTTGGCTGCCATTCAAGGCAGATGGGGGGTTTCTTGAGATCAAAGAGAACCTTTGCCATAAGGCACCGTGCAGAACCGGCACCTTTTAGCGCAGGCCCTGGAAGCCCTCGGTGCCTTGGGGCGGAATGAACGGCACAATGTTCTCCGCAGTAGTCGGAACTGATAAATCAGCTATGTGGAGCAGTTGCATAGCCAGGGGAGGGGCGTATCAGGATTCAGCCCTTCCTCGATGTCCAGTCGATCTTATAATACACGCACGCAAATGGTATAGCAGTTCTGCCACTATGCCTGCAGCCCTCGTTGTGCTCCTAGTTAAAGGGACCATGAAATGATTTTAAAATCGAGTTTCATCCACCGCACGTCGTAAAAGGTGTGAAAAGAAACACAAAAATAGGGAGCCAAAAAAAATTATTTGCTATAGAGCTTTTAAAAGAAAACTGGACTCTTTTGCGCCTTCCTTCCTTCGCCTGTTCACTACGATGCATCCGCGGAAATGGAGCACGTCAGCCAAATCCAGGTCGCCTATTGGGTAAGAGCCTACCTCACCAGCTCCGCGATCGTAAACAATAAATAGCCGGCGAATGTTTCCTAAAAGTTTTGTTAAACAATATTCAGATCCACATTTTGCAGCATAATTAGAGATGTGTGGCGAAAATTGCCAAATTTGATAATGCTAAGAGCCAAGCGCCATCTATCGTGTGGTAAACGAAGCAACTACTGCGCGTGCGCAGTAGGGCAGGGCCGACAGTTCCTTGGGTGGCGGCGGCCGCCGACGAACGTTTATTTTCTTTGTTTTCCTTCCTCTCAAAACTCTGACTGACTGAACGTTCATTTTTCTACGTGTTCTTCCCGCACGTGCCGACTTCAAGCAGCAAGAAAACAGTACTTAAAACAGACCACGACGAACAAGAATGCTGGATCCACTGACTCCGACGAAGCGAGGTGCTCAGAATATAGGCCTAGCAGGCATTCCGACTCCGTGCTGCGTTGCTTCGTCGCAAGACCGTCTGCCTACGACCGGCTGGCGTGCTAAATGGAATATGCCCGCGCGACCCTTGTGGACCCTTCCCGTATTATAGTTTGATCACTGACCTCAATTCTAGTAAGAGGTGAGGTCAATCTCTTCCCCTTGTTTCCCGAGGCAGTGTTGACGAACACTCGTCGAAAAGGGACTCTCGTCGATTCTATCTTGTTTTGTGTGATATAGAGCTGAAATAAACGCCGTATGGATTACCTTCGTAACACGGTATGTACACTTTGTTATTGGTATGCCATTTTTATTCTGACAGACTGCACGTCACTGTCGAGCTATAACAGTTTGTGGGAGGTATACGTACAACCCCGGTCCAACCTTTCTTTGCCGAGTGTCGCGTCAGTATAGAGTTGCAATCGTAAAAGAACGGTCCCGAAGCGCTTACAAACAGCGCGAAAACAGCACTTCCATCGAACGCGCGCGTCCGCTCCGAGTGTAAACAGGTATTTACGTGGCTCTTGCTGACACTCGTAGTTCAAACGTATCTTTTTTAACGTCTGCTCGCTCCTGCATCTCCGAGGCCGCGAAAAACGCCATCTACGTCGCTTTGCAAACGACTGACACGGGCCGGCCCTTCTGCCAACAATGACAGGGTGGTTGACTTCTGGAGTCTTCACCGGAAGACTCGCTGCACTTCCCAACAGGCATACCGACGTATGGGACTAGTCCCATGCTGTCGCTGTAGCGCAACATATCTCATTGAATTTTGCTCAGCTGCGATGCGGCGATGAGAGGCGCCGATTCAGGAAATACGTCGGTGACATCAGCGCAGTAAAACCTACCGGCGCACCCCAACTCGTTGCCGCTAACACTCCCATTCTCCTATTGCCGAGAGAACTTCCGGTTCCGGAAACGGTTTACGTCACGGCTTGTTTTGCGGTCAGTTGGAGAGAATGAAAAAGTCGATATTTCAATAATTTTTTGTGTAGAAGTTAATAAACCGAGACGAAAACGGATGCCTGTTCGGCATTCAGTGAACATTGACGGTTTAATGTAAAAGTTATCTGGAAAAAGTAAAAAGGTCATTTCATGGTCCCTTTCACACTTGCGACCCCTTAGAACCGAGAGCCTTAAAACCTCAAAATCTCTTGCGACGGGAGAACACACTGACACGCTGGCGCCATCTATGCGGTGAGCCTGGAACTGCATTTCACTAGAGCGAAGGTTTGGCGGTATTTGCGAGGTCAAATGTATGTACTACTTATGAGAAATGTCTGTTTATAACATCGACAAAAGTTTTTCATGCCAAGAAAACAAGAATAATGTGCAAAAGAAATTGAAAATATACGGGACCGCCCAGTGTTCCATGATACCTGATAGGTGGTGCCAGTGTGACCTCTCATCATAAAAAATTTGAAGAGGTTCCAAGGCACTCGGTTGTAAAAAGTTGCAAGTGTGTGAACGGGGCTTTAACGTAGAGTGACATACAATTTCTCTCCTCACAGCAGAACATTCAACAGTTAATGGAAACTCCGCGTAACAAAAAGCAACGTATGTAACTACGTACCGGTCTCCATGGACAGCTCTGTAGCACCGCCTTCCGTCGGATCTTGCGGCTCTGCACACAAAAGGAGTTTCCGAACGTAAGAATCGCACCTGGCTGTAAACACCACGTAAAGAACACACCTGTCTTGATGGTCACCGCTGTTTCGCTAGGTTGCTCCATCCCTTCGGGAACTGGCAGCTCTGCAAAGAGCAAGGTCAGGTTAGTCTTTTCCCAAACAAGGCTGCTCGCCACTCCTCGCCAGTGAAATGTCGAAACTTCCAGGTTAGTGTTGTACGTACCTGTATCCATCAAGTGGATTGAATCCTGATTCATTACATCCGGTGGCTCTGCAGGTACGAAGAAAAGACGGTACGGGACGTAACGTTCAAGCCAGATGTTCTCAATCACATGAGGTGTAGTCACAAACATTTTTATGAAGAAACGCAACCACAAACGCACCTATCTTGACGGCCGGCGTCGGGCTGCTGGGCTCCCGAACTTCCTCGTAATATTCAGACTCTGCAATTAAAAAAAAAACGGTCCATTTTTTTTTTTTTTTTTTTGCTTTCTAAAGACGATGTGTTTAAACGAAGTGCAAAGCCCCTGAGACGGGCAGCGATTCAAAGACGGACCTGACTTAACAGATCCAATGGGGCTGCCAGGTTCCTCGCCCGGCTCATACTCCGGTGGTTCTGTAAACAGAGAGATGGTGTAGTGACATTTTAGATTACGTTGACGCATGACAAAGAAATCGAGTAAATGGCCTATCCCAGTGATATGTCCTGGTATTGCTTCCCCCCCCCCCCCCCCCCCCCCATTCGGTGTTGCCAATCTAGCAGTTCGCTGAGTCATCTGGCGGGAGAAATTACCGTTTTTGGGGTCAGCAGGATTTTTTAGCGGTTTTTGAGTCGTGTTAGCGTTGTTTTTTTTTTTTTCTGGCAGTTTAAAATGCTCTTGAATTTTCACGTTTGAGTCATAAATATCTTAATTTCTGTGGTTAGTTAGAGATACAGAGTCATCATTTTTGCTTACAGGTAGCGAAATATTTGGCAGAGAGTAACACTTGCCACACCATTGAGATATTACAATGACATATATACATCGAAACATGCCTTCAACTGATTTGTGCGTGAATGCATCAATTCGTTTTCCAAGTCTGCGAGGTGAAATGGGCCCGGTGAACTGATGCACAAAACTTAGAAAACACGAAGGAAAGAGGATTCTAAGCTTCGAGATTGGTTACTGGCAGCTCTAAGCGGCGTCAGACAAAATACCCTGGAAAATGGAGCTATTTTTTCCCAAAGCATCTAAATTTGGTCACAGAAGCTTTGAACTGCAATAAAATATTGTCGCATGCACAGCCGAGAGGAAACGTTCCTCCATACTTCCAGAACATTTCCGTTTACTGTTACCCCGAATGTTTGGTGCTAGAGCATTCTAGGAGGAAGGTACGGAGCGTAAAAGATAAGGTCGTCAGCATGGTCTTGCCGAGTCAGTCTCGTGACCTTGCCAAGTCACAGACTATCGCGCTAGCCAGCCGTCATGCTGACACCTCGACACTCATTCTTTTTTTTCCGTTTCTGCAGAAGTTCACGTTTAAACCATAATTTTGCAGTTTTACGCTTGTCGACCCCTTTCCATTTGCGACAATACTGTATTTAAGATGGGAATGGAGGTGTATGTTAGCAGGAATGGCAAAAAAACACACTTGGTAACAGTAAGGTCACGCACACACATTTCAGTGCATGGAAGCAATTTGCACTGGACGTAGATCCCTTCTAAGGGTTTGTCTATTTATTCTACCCTTTTTAAACTAATTACAGCAATAAGTCATGTGCACCCAAAATCTAGCAGTTTTTCAAGATTCACACAGCGGGTTTTTTATTTCGAAGTTGGCAACACTGCTTTAGTTATCACTTTTACTGAAGATATGTAAACTGATTTCATTTGCTTGTTTTCATTTTGATTGTTTCTACATTTTTTTATTGATTAACATGCTCATATACATATTCTCTGTTTCAAACCCCCTTAAATCCCTTAAAAAGAATAAAATGAAAAAAAAAAAAAATACTAGCTTGAGATGCTACCCATGCTTGGCTTAACTCACTATTACTTCGCCAAGACAAATGCCATGTGCTTGTTTGAAGGGAAGACAAAGGTCTCAATGTCCTTGAGTCACTCTCTGATCTGATTCGGATATTCACACCATTTTTACCTCAGGTGTAAAGTAAGAATGTAAGCCTACCCAGTCCTACAAAAAATGCAACAATACACAGACTCAATTTACTCCCTAAATTCAGCAGGGAAATGCTTCCTGCTACATTCATGAGGTAAGCCCGCTAAATTTAGTGTAGTTTAGCATGCCACTTGACGCACAAGTCCACTGAATTTAGTGGTTTACACTTCTGCATTGTTTCTTTTAAGACATTTATTTTATGGACCTACAGCCCTTGACACATTCTTTTAAAAATGAATAAGAAAAAACAAAGGCGAAGGGGTGGCGAGGCCGGGCTTCAGACAAAAGTCATTCACCAAGCTCGCTCGATTATTTCAATACCGACAGGTATGTACAGGTCACGCCCAGCTATCTGGCCCGTATGCTTCCCTGCAGGAACCTTGAATTCTGGCAGCCTCTGTGGTCTTATCGCTTTACCCAAGATGAGAAGCTATGTAATACAAAGACAATCCATGCAGCAACATACCTGTCTTAATAGCAACTGCTGGCATCACACCAGCACCAGTGGAACCTTCCAGTTCTAGAAGAAAAAAAAAAAACGATGCAGACAAGCTTTTAACAAAACTGGGCGACTCACTGGAAAGTTAGGCACTATTCATGTTTAAACACAGAAGTGGTTTGCACAGTGATCAATGTTGACACCAAATGAACTAATATCTTCCTATATATTTTCAAAAACTCAATGCTTCGCATGACAAAAGAAAAAAGAAAAGAAGGCTTCAGGCAACTCTTGGTCGCCGTACACACTTAAATGTGCCTACCTCAACGCGGAACTGCGTGCACCGCAGGAGTTGTTGCTCTTTGTTACGTCTTTGGCGCACAATAAAGGTTATATTTGCACGGTGTTTTTGCCTTGCTGAGGCTATTTATAATTTTTGTTTTTTCCAAAGAGCGGGACTTTATTTTGGCACAATAAGTAAAATTGTAACAAAGAAGATAAAAAACAAAACTGCTGTTTGCAGTTTTTTTTTTTTTTTTTACACATTCTTTCTTTTACACATTTGTACACATTCTTTTACACATTTGTAACTTGCACGATTGTCGCTTTGCGTTTCAGCTGCTCTGGTGGTAGTGGCAATCGCAGTGCCGGCACTTCCAATTCAAACTTCGAATGCTTTTCATAAGTGAATTGAGAGGGTCAAAGCTTTCCGTTCAACAGAGAAGCTCTGTAAAGTGCCTTCTCTGAAACAGTCTGAACACTGCAGAAGCGGACGAGCCAAAATTAAACCGAAGAGAAGAAAGGTGACAACTTTCTGCCTTTGATATTTTCATCTGAAAAGCTTGCACGCATTGTACATTCACCCTCTAGATAATTAGGAAAAAAAAAATAAACTCCTTTAGCTGACCTATTTCTTTACCCTATACCTTTGGAAACAAAATCCAGCTACTAGAAAACCTTCTTTGCGAAAACAAATTTGACCGTCAAAGGGTTAACACGAGGTTACATGCCTCGAAGTGCCATTCACACTCGAAGCCTTTTCGTACACACAATGCAGCACTATTCCAGTGCCTATTCAGCTGTGACCTTAGTCTTCATGCAGCACTTGCTACACTCCATTCACATCCAAGCTGACAGTGCCGCGTTATGCGTTCACCGAACCAATCGACCGCCTCCCTTTCGTCACCTGACCCCACTCTTTGCGCCTGGGCACAGGAACAAGCGCGATCACGTGGCAAAAGAAAGACGTTTGACTGGTCCAGCGAGCACGCAGCTTCCACCGCACGCAGAACACCCGATTTGCACCAACACAATACATCTGGTTTCTATCGCCTGGCGTGATGCCATTTTACCACCTGAAGTTTCTTCCCAGTCTTGCTTCGACAAGCTGCGGCGGCACTCGATGCAAGAAAGCTAATATCGACCTTGAGACAGTCAGTCAATCGTGCAGTGTAAAGACGAGTTGACCATTGAGGATCGTTCCCACACTTGCAACTGCATAATGCTGGTTCACACGCCTGCGACTGCTTACAATCGTGTGCCGTATCGTACGCCTCTCTTTCGCCACGTCATCGCGCTCCTGGCCATACCCACGTGCGGAGAGCCGGGTCGGGTGACAAAAGGGAGGTTGTTGATTGGGCCGGCAGGCAAGTAGCGCCCACTGTAGTCTCAGCTTAAGGGTGAACAGAGTATAGTGCTTCTACCAGGTGGTCGTAAAACGCTGGGCATTTCCGCACATTTCTAGGCAAGGTGGCGCAAGCTACTGCCCGATATAAAGGGTACGGCCATTAGCATTCATCCATCCATCCATTTCCTATTTATTTCCCGCATCATTCTTTCTTGGATTGAAATCTTTTGTCAAGGTTATAAATGACTTTCTCATAGATGGTATACCGGGTGTTTCAGCGATGACTCCCCGAAATTCCTAAAATTAGTGTATTTCTCGGGATCGCATTACTCGTGGTGTCGGATGTCAGAAAATGCGCAATACTTACTGATCACAAATTATTTAAAATAAATTAACTTTTTAATTAGTGAATATCGAGACATGGTTCCAATTACAAACTTCCTTAGCATCATCGAGGACCACTAAATTAGTCATTTTCAGAAAGACTGAGCGCATGGGAAGCATAGTAGTGCGCTGAGCTTACCATTCGTGGAGCAGGTACAAGGCTGGGGCTCTAATAAGAGACGGAAAAATCGCACAGACGCCTTATCGCATCCGCTAGCCCTGTACCTGCTCCACGAGTGGGAACTCCAGTACACTACTACGCTTCTCACGCACTCAGTCTTTCTGAAAATGACTGATTTAGTAATTTTCGATGATGCTCAGCAAGTTTATAATTGGAACCATATGTCTATTTTCACTACTTAAATAGTTGATTAGACATTTCTAATTAGCGAATTAGTAAGTATTGCACTTTTTCTGACGTCCGCCACCGCGAGCAATGCGGTCCCAAGAATATTAACTTTTTACCTCAAATAATTTTTGTCAGCCTTTACTGAAACATACGGTACACATTTGCATGTGCAAATACCGCAAAAACTTCACTTTAATTAAATGCAGTTCTAAGATCATTCCACAAATGGTGCTAGCAAGCCAGGTGTGTTTTCTCATCGTAAGAGATAACAAGAACTCAGTCGTAAGCAAGTGCAAATGTGTGAGCCACCCTTCATCCTGAGTGTTCTCTTTGGCATGCATGTCACTGTTGAGACCCTGAGAGACGTCACAATTCATACCATCACTGGTTTTCTCCTTCTTGACCGGTGGCTCTTCATTGTCCAGTGGCACTCCGAGGATGCTGGTAGTGGAAGTCATGGTCAGCTTTTCTTCACCAGTCCCCAAACAAGGTGTGGGTGCTGCAAGTGCACAGAGACCGGTTTTGTGAGGGGTGAAGCATCACTGTAGACCACGCTGCCACGAGTTTGCCTGCAAGCTAGATTTGACGCATTCTTTTACATACACTCTAGATATTTTGAAGTAAAAAAATACTATGGTTGCTCCAAGAAAAGAGTTTTAGTAGATCATTCTGTTAACTCCGACATTGACACTGCGCTGGCGCCTTTCGCGGTGCATCATATCATCACTGGAGTGTAAAAACAATCTACTAAAACTCCCTGGAGTTTCATAATGCATGAAATGCACTCGTTTGGTAGATATGAACTACTGCATTTCATGCATTATCAAACTTAGTTTCAAAGCAAAGCCACGTCTTGCACGCAAAGCAAACTCTGAAGGCATGCCCATTCTCTGTTGGGAACATTTGTTTGAGCAACACTTTAGAATTATTTAGCACTTTCTGCCCACCAGAAAATGCATTTAGCATTTTCTGGTGGGCAGAAAGTCACCAGCCCATCTTAACGACCATAATTTTATAACAAATGAATAGGTTCACGCAAAGCAAGACACCTTTATACATTTGTGGTACACTAAATTTCCACTGCATTATTAACCAGGCATTGCAAGCGTCATGGCACATTTGTCCTTTGACATAAATACTGGGTAGCGCTTCCTAACATAGCACTGATATGCTCCTCTAGCCAGCTTGAACCAACTCTAATTTAATGCGGCAATTTCGTGTCGTGTTGGAGTGAATGAAGTCTGGTGTAGACCGTGAACACCTCACTCCTATTGCTGCACGAAGATGACAGATTTTCACACTTCCAATATAAAGCTATCTGGGTGCAATCCTGCAAAGACAGTTTGTCTGCAGTTGTCCTTACCCACTCACAGTAGATGTTGTGCTACTAGTATACTCAGTTTCAACTTATGATTAACCGCAACAGATGTTACAAGCTATCCCAGCACTGAGAATGTATCTTGCGACTACGGCGTCCCGCACGTCGCTGCTCACCTCCCAAAGGTCACGCAACACACCACACGCCATTAGATTGGCTTCGATGGCGCACAGTGTCGTCTACGGTCCATCATAAAGTGAGGAAATGGAGTATAACTGTCTTCGTTTCTAAACCTATCACGATGCAGCTGACACTCGACTTGAATCGCTACTTTGATTACACCGATCGCATTGGTACTAATCAGTGGAAGTGGAAAAAAATGTGGAGCAGGGCGCGCTAAACCACTAAACCACGCTGGACTCAGTTTCGTCGAGCTCTTCTCAGCGCAGCGTAGTAGGTAACGTCAGCACAATTACATTCAGAGCCTTAATCTAAGACGATGCATGCTCGTCCTCGGCGAGGCGGCCATGAACCTAACCCACAGCCAATAGATATTTTCTGAAACTGTGAAATGATGCATAGATTATGCGCAGCCGCCATTAGTCTGGTTATTTCCAGCGTGAAGGCCGCGATTAGTTCTCAGGTCGCACCGAGCACCGACGCAGCTCTCGTGTGGAATGCGTTTCAATACGAGTGCAGTCTGAATGCTGACAAAACGCTCCTGTCCAATCCGTGCTCACAGTGCATGATGTCTCTAATAAGTAGCAAAGCTCAAATGATTTGCTCAATTTCGTAATTTTTCATTTGCTCGTAACTCCCAAAAATAAATTGCATCTCCAAGAACCAGTTTTTCCTTTGTGTTCCTACGTCCTGATGAGCTCCTCTGTCTCAGCGCAAATTCCAAACCAGTCTAGACATGATCACAGGGCCCCTTTAAACCAGCCTTCGTCAGATGGGTTGCACACTTTCAAATTAATCGTTTGTAAAGTGCTTGATGAAGTGCGAATCGGCATATTCCAAGGTGCGCGGTGCCAGCACAGCAAATGCGTTCCCATAGGCTGCCGCCGTAATGATGTGCGCGCTTGTGTTATGCAATTCGGCTCTTCGTTTTGGCAGACGGGGGTTCACTTTCGCGCGGCATCGCGGGCCTTCTTTTGTGTGCGGTAAAAAAAGAGCGTCGTGCGCGGAATCGGCGTCCTTATGCCACCAGAGGCATTACCGGGCACCGCTGCTTGGCAACCACTGCCGGCCGGACAGACGCAGGACAAGTTCCAGACATTTCATTTTGTTCAGAAGGCTTTTTTATGCATAAAAAACAGCGCGGTTGGCCGTAACTCTTGGGTTCGAAGCTGCTCGCGACTTGTCCATGCTAGGGCGGCTTCATGTGCACTTTGCTTAGGGTAGCGCTGCTTAGGGTGATGACATCTGGCCATTTCGTTCCGATAGCTTTTAACTATTTAATTTTTTATCCTGAAACGTCCGAAAGAGCGTGTCCCCGCACGTGCCCGTGGCGCCGACTGTGCTACGGCGACATTTTGGGCTCGGCGATTTCTTTGTATTTTCTCAATGAGCGCGGGCTGTCGGCATTAGGCACTACAAAGGATGGCGTCACCTTAAATAAAGCACTGAGGCATCCTAGTCCACGCTTCACCGCCAAAACTCACGATAGGAAGCGATGACGAACGAACACCACCAAACAACGGTGTACCGGCCCAAACCGGCGCAAGTTTAGTTACCTGTCAGAGTCGTGTATGTCCGTGAAACACTTCAAGCCGGGTGTATCAGCGAGGCCAGCGAGGTTCTTGTTCCCGCTCAAATCAGGACCAATTTGTTTTTCACTTTCTTCGCGAGAAGCAGCCGTTGAAACAGCCCGACAGCCCTTTGTCATGAAACACCCACGAAGTCAACGAAGTCCCACCAGTGAGCAGTGACCAGTACCTGGCAAAACTGGCAAAATGCCCTATGAAACGCCAAACACCCTCGAGGCGGCGCAGCGGCGCACCACTCGTGGTGACCGCTTGAGGGCGCTATGTTCCCAGGGTTAAATAGAATATTGCAGTTGAGAGAGCTAGTATGAATATCTGATGGTTCAGAATATGTCAGTGAGCATGAAAAGTATATGATAGGTAAGGGCAACAGAAATGCAGCTGTAATGAAAAATAGAGCACTTTGGAATTACAACAGGTATGAGGTGGTGAGAGAGATTTGGAAAGGGGGTCATGGTGGTCATGGTTGGTCATGGTGCCCTGGGTTACAAGTCAAGAAGGTAGGAGAAGCTCCTCCCACAAGTGTGATGCGCCCGTTTCAAATCTCTCCGCAGTCGAAAGAAGAGTTCACTGGAAACGCTCCTTGTTCCGCTTCAGTGGATTCCCACTTGTCTCCGATCCCACTTTTTAAGAAAGCGACCTTTGTATTCATCGGAGAGGGAACCGAGCCAACCGAGCCCCTGAAAGCAGCCTTTGTATCCATCGGGGGGGGGGGGGGGGGGGGGGGGGGGGGGGGGGGGGGGGGGGGGGGGGGGGGGGAGCTAATCCCCGAAAGTCGTATTTGTTTCCGTCGGTGGAGGAGAACTCTAATCTCCCTCTCGTGGCTTCCACAATGCTAAGTCAAAGTCGAAAAATAAAGCAAATATGTACAGAAAGGCAAGACCCTCCTCGCGCGTTGGCCGCGACGTCACGGAAACGGTGGGACGCTATTGGATGCGGAGGTGGCGGAGGGATATCCGATTCCCTTTGAGGAGCATTTGCCGCTACCTTCTTAACCTGTAACTGACAGGAGGGGGCACGTTGCAATATTGGTGAAGCCTAGTCATAAAAAGTTTAAACGATTTTGTGCCCAGCGTGACCGCAGATCTGTCTGGCGATTGGTGCGCGTAACATGTACGTGTGAGATGGATGGTTGATTGTAGAAAGACTCTTTGCAGGCTTGTGCGCGCTCCGTCCGGTAGGTTTTATCACATCGAAGGCTAGACTGTGGTGTCTTCTAGTACCCCATAGCAAGACGAAGGCCAGCTACGGTCACGTGATGTGGTCACGTTGGCATGGTAAGTGAGGAGAGTAAGGAGGAAAATGAGAAAGAGGCGAGGCGTCAAGGGAGCATGGCTTGTGGAGGCTACGCGGCCGACTCCATGCCTGGGGTGCTATGTTGCGCTTTTTGCACTCCCAGGAGACTTGGAAGAAGGAAGTGACGTCAACGACTAGAGCAATCGCAGATTGGATATTCACAGAAGAAAACAAAGTCCACATCCAATCTGCATTTGCTGCGTTGTTGACGTCACTTCCTTCTCCCTAGTCTCCTGAGAGTGTAAAAAGCGCAACATAGCCCCCCTGGCTTGACTTTTGGAAACGCAGTGCTATGCATGAAATCCGCGACAACTTTTCTTGGCAATGCAGTGGGAGGTACGTCCCGCGTCCCCTCTCCCATTTTGATTGTACGCAGGCTCTCCTCCTCCCCCATTTCCGAGGAGAGGAGGAAAGCCTGCGTACACTCAATATGGAAGAGGGGGCGCGGGACGTACCTTCCACTGCATTGCCAAGAAAAGTAGCGCGGAGTAGGTAGGCTGGCTTTAGGGGCACATTGCAAAACGCCAAATTAGGGAATCAGGCACGTAGCCAGGGGGGGGGGGGGGGGGGGGGGCATGCACTCACCCTCGAAATTTTCCATTTTGCTGGGAGGCACCCAGGGATAAAAAGAGGAGAAAACATAAGAACAGGCATAAACAAACAGCACAATCAGACATTGGTATATTAACATGCAGGGTGGTAGAAATAGGTTAAAATGGGAAGAGGTAGAGGAGCAACTAAGAAAGGAGGATTTAATGGTGTATGGGTTTGTGGAAACACATCTCAGAGACATGGAGCAGCCACCTTGCAACCCTGACTATGTGTGGGAAGAATGCAACAGAATGGAGGGAACGAGGAAGGGAGGTGGAATTGGAGCATTTATTAAGAAGAATAGGAACGTCCAAAGGATCAGAAAGGAGTGCGCCGAACATTTGTGGCTGAAAGGAAAAGTCGCTGGGGAATCAACAGTCCTTGGAGTGGTTTACTTATGGACAGGGACAGGTGCTAAAGAGGAAAACAGAAGAATGATTGATTGCATATCAAGAGACATTAGTGAACTAGGGGAAGGCTCCGAAATAATTATTATGGGAGACATGAATGCCCATATTGAGGGTCTGGATGGGTATACGGACTCAACTGGAAGCATATTACTAGAACACCCTGCCCGCCAGGGTGTTCTAGTAACTCTAGTTCTAGTTCTAGTTTTGGATCCGCCGAGGCAAATCCAAAACTCCGTCTTTTTTTTTTTTTTTTTGGGGGGGGGGGGGGGGGAAAGGGGCGAAAATTTTTTTTTTTTTTTTTTTTTTTTTTTGCGTGTGGGGAGGGGGGTATTTAAAGTAAGATAAACAGGACTCCGGTTGCGACCTACCCTACTTTGAATCCTCTTTGAGTACCGAGCCTTCTACGACCTGGCAGGCCGGCCGGTAGTCGTTTTTATTTCGGGGGGGGGGGGGGGGGGGGGTCGACTTTGTTTGGGCTGGGGCCGGCCGCCCCCGTCCCCCCCCCTCCCCTTGGATCCGCCCCTGGTGGAAGGCGGTGAAAAGTTCTGCACGTGGTATTATTTTAAAAGCGATACAAATCATAGTCGACTAAAAAAAAAAAATCCGCAGTTTAGGTTACAGTTGTTTGCGGAGGCATGTTTGGAGATTTTTAGAAAGATTGGAGTGACGTATAATCAGGGGCGGATCCAGAACTCCGGTGTGTGTGTGTGTGTGGGGGGGGGGGGGGGGGGGGGGCGGTAAATTTTTAAGGATACCAGTGTTGCGGAGTTGCCACTCCGGAGTTGGAATGGTCCCGGAATCATTCCGAATTTTCGCGACCCCGGAATGGAATGGGAATGGAATGGCGGAAACGTTGAGGGGAATGGAATGGATGATGGAATCAGATGCCTTTTGCTCGGAATGGAATGGGAGTAGAATGGGGGCCCGGTTCTTCTATTTATTTATTATTATTTTTTTTTTTTTTTTGTTTACTGTTAGTGAACTTGAGCCAGTCAGCGAGCCAGTTTCTCAGAAATAAAATGAGCGGGCGGAAAACAGCTAACCGTCTTGGAGCTCTAACAGACTTATACGCAAAAAATGCAATACAAAAAAGTGTCAAAGCAAAGAGCAGAGGGGGAGGGAGGGGAAGGGGGTGGGGCTGGTGGTGGCGCCTTTCGCGCAGGCGACGGGCTTTACTGGCGTTACACGAGAGCGAGCGAAACAAGAAACCAAGCACCAAGCAAAAGAAACGAAGGCATGGAGAATACACGCGCGCACTGACTGAGATCTGGGAGCGGGGGACGACTCATACATCGCAGAGCTCTGGTAACTCGTTGACTCGCGCACCGCCGAAAGATGATCAGTTATTGTTTTCGTATAGGGAGTATTCACTGGACGCCATATTTGTGGGTGCTGTTTATTGGAGCGCATGCTCAAAACGAGCTCACATTAATAGGTTGCTAAGACCGGCAATCTTGGTGGTTTGGAACGCACGTTGCAAAAGAACTGTGGAAGCTCGCCATCAGCACGTGCATAGCGTTCGCGCACACAGCTATGGCCGCCACTGAATACTCCCTATAGTTCGAGGAGCGTTGTTTAGCAGGCGGCCTGTTGCCTTCCACGTTCATTCGCGCGCACTCCTTTGAAGTGCGAAATCTGGGTTTGCTTCGGCATTAAAACAAAGCGAGATTCACTTCTCTCCTCTTGCGCTTTGCTCCGACGCTTGTCTTTTTATACTGCATTTTTACGTGAAGGTCCGTCTTTTACTTGGTCTTTGTTCCGATGCTTGTTTTCTGTGCTATATGTTTTACATTGAAGTGGGTTAGGTTTACAAGCAAGCTAGCGGATTCCCGCTCATTTCCTTTGACTTTAGTCTCTGCCTACTGTGTTTCACCTTGTGATGGACCGCTGCGGACGCTACGAGTCACCCCAGGCAATCCAGCACCGTGAGGGGGACTACACGCACGGCGCGTTGCTGCACCCCAGGGTCACACGACACTCAGAAGAAGGCACTGGATTGGTTTCGATGGTTCTCGTGCTGTTGCGGTCCATCGTAAGGTGAAGTAGATTGTTGCCACCGCTCTTGTCGCATGACCAAACTGACTAGACCTGTAGAAAGACAGTTTCGTGACATGGTATATACAGTCTCTCGTGCTGTGCCGTAGAGGTTGCACTTTGTCAGAGGATGTGCTCTTGCCACTGTACATGGAGTCGCCTCCAGCAGCATACTAGCCGTATTGCTGTGCAGGTATTTGAAGAATACAGTTGTATATCTTATTTCTGCGCCACGCACGAACTGGACATTTTTATGGTCTTATCAAACAAACACGCTCACCGCGTATGTCCTAGAAAACAAATGCAGCGTGTGACTCGTCGCAACTTTAAATGGCAGACCAACTACACGCTGTATAAATATCCCTACAACCCAATTATTATTATTATTAAAAAACAAATGCAAAAAATTTTGCAAAAAAAAAATTGCGGATTTAAGTTTTGCTGTTTGTTGCGAGCCACGTGGTCGAAAGACCGACGTTTTAAACACGCATCGAGATATCAAGGGGCTTTCTCGGTGTTTGCATACAATGCAAAGAAACAGTTTGTGCCACCAGCGCTCCGCTTAGTAAAATCAGTGCTTTTTTTAGGAATTTAGAATTTTATTGCAATAGACCCTTTCCGAAATTCAGTCTGGCCACTTTGATGACTATCATCATCTGTGGAACGACATCTGTGCCATACCAATGGCGGCCTTCTAGTGACTGATAAAGGAAGACGTTGAAGGTACTCCTAAGCGGATCTTGCGAGGCCTGTACATTCGGGGGTTCAGTACGACGCGACGTAGGAATGGAACACAAGAGCTACGTAAGCGTTTGCTTCTAATAACTCACATTCAGTCAATCTGATGGGCGGCACACAATCGGCTTTAAAGCACTTTGGCGTA